TATGGCGCACAATATCAATAGTAATAATCCTTATCAGATCGCGTGGCGTGTGAAACGGCCTATTTTACAATTCAAAATGAAGTTATCCGAAGTTTAGTAGCTGAGAGGCGCTGTTAAGTAACATTTATCGATTGTTATTTATAGTTATTCGCTTACTGTTATTTTTGCATAACGATAATGCATCATATAATTAAATATCGTTTATTCGATAGTGTTTATCCACTGATTTGAAGCTCGTGGCCTGTCGAATTTAACGCGACTGGTGTTTTGTTAATTGTTTCGTTGCGTAACGTGAATGTTAGTAAAGTTCAGTGAATTCCATAAAAGTAAAAGTTGCTCATGATTTTAATACTGGTTCTCGAGAAAGTATAATATAGCAAACTTGTCCATTCACGTGGAAATTTCCATTATCAAATACGAACACAAACAAGTTTGTCGTAGTAACGATCGATTTCAGATTTTAATTATTGTAGTTGTAACATTATAATTATCATATTAATATTCTAATATTATTTATTATTATATTATAACATATTATATTGTATATTATTTATTATTTTAATATTATTATCAATATAATACGATAATTGTAATAATATAATAATTATATATTAAATTATATATAATATACAATGTATAATAATTATTAGGTATTATCAATTATTATTAATTAAATAGTAAAAGATATATCATTATACATAAGAATTAGTGTGATAATTGTACTATAATAATAATATAATCCATTATAAAATTGTTTCATAATTATTTTATAAGTGGACGAAATTTCATTAATAGACTGTGTGTTTTAGCAGAAGATGATATTTTTTGAGAACGTATTATAAAAAATAGCTTGATGGAAAATTACTTTACGTGCCAAACATTATCAGATACAAATAGCACATCATACTTTGCACATTGTTCCATATTACGAGCACTCTCTGCAACTTTGTATCATTAAAATTAAAGGTAAAAATGAATCTAAGAAAAATAAAAGTCTGACTGATGATCTGATCGATTAATATCGTTTCAAAGGGAACTGCAGACGTTGAAACTTTTATCACGAATTTTCGTCATTTCACACGCAACGTCATCGTTGTAAATAACTATAATAACCACTATACCTTTGATAGTTTACACCTTTTTACATAATACTGATTCCACATTTTTACATTTTCTTCAATTTCCCACAAATGTATTAAAATTCACAGCCTGCTTACGAATTGTCCATAGAGAATCGATCCAAGACGAATGAAAACAGTGATACAGTTCAATCAGGATGTTTCTTTTCGGCCGATGGTTTTTAGACAATTGAGTTTGCATTTTGCAATTTGCAAGAAACCAAAGACTCAACGAATGAGAGCGTAACGACGGAAAATCATTTTAATACACATTCCTTGTCTTGTGAGGCAAAGAATTATGAGGCTACAGAGAATGGAACGTTGTTTGCCTGGTTTTCTAAACGAACGGAATTTTCTTCAGAAATAAACATGCACATACTTCAATGATTTGTGAGCATTCAGAAGATATTGACTGTTGCAAATTACCGATGGTGTAAAAGTTTAATATTAAATTCAACAATTCAATCTAATGACGTGACTCTAATCGAGATTTTATCTTCTTTGAATCTCTAATTAGCAAACAAATTCTTTTACTGTTCATTCTAAGCAGACTGCAAATTTTTTTTTTTTTTTATGCATTTGTAGCAATTTTGGACAGTTTGAACAATTTTGGAAATATGTGAAAACAATTCGCTTTTTATAATATTTAGTAACATATCATGTAGTGACATATTATATTCATAATATTTAGTAACAAGTTTTTACGTAGATTCCATTTCTTTAATTATGTTCGTGATAATATGGAATTATATATAAAATTCCACAGTTTAATTTTAAGATTATCTATATAATATCTAATATCTAACGCTCAGCAATCCAACTTAAAGATCCCAAAAGGCCCTATTTAACTCCATTAGAAATCAGAGTTATATTAATGCAACATTTCAATCAATTTCTAACAAAATTATTTTCAACTAGTTGCTATTAAATTCTATAATTATTACTTATAGTTGTATAATAATTTATTAATCAATAGCCATAGGTATAGTCGTTAGTACCAGTGGCTACAGTATTACTTATCAATTATAATTATTTAGTAATTATTAATTTTAAGGTTTAGATTTTAAGGTTTCGATTTAAGTTAGAGTCAGTGTCAATCATGTTGTAATTACTTATCCGTTACTGGACTGCAGATTCTTATGCAAATTCATTCATTTCCTCTAAATAGAATTTAACATAGAAAAGAGAAACAATATGGGAAATTGCTTTTTCTATTAATTATTATACAAAGTATCGCACGTTGGGCATTTTACATTTATATAATATATTTAGTCATTATTGTCATTTAATTCGGCTCACGGTTGTTAATACGAATATCACAATTATAGCATTATAATTATTAGTTGACAGTTCAATTCGAAACAAAAGAATACAATAAAAAAAAAAAAAAGGAAAAAAAGAACCGACAAAAGAACGTCAGCTCCATTTAAAGAACATTACGAGCACGATTAAGGCAGTGATAAAAGTTGAATAGCCTAATAAAGTCTAACCGAGTAAATTGTATACATAATACAATGTAGTAATCCTAATGACAAATGCAACGAAGTTAAAAGAGGAAGAATAGAAAAAAGGAAGGAAAAGCGAGATAAAAGAACGTTATGTTCGTGACTAAGAGAAAAACGACTGACCACATTCGATCCGTATGATAATTTACTTCTTGCCCCCATCATTTTCTTCCTGAACCCTGATCGACCGATCACGTGCAATATTTTACGATTTCGTGTTAAGTATTCTTAAACGTAGACGCACGATCGGTGAACAATCGTGAGGATTTTGCTCGTATGATTCAGACGTTAATTCAGGACGTTCATTGTCGCGATGACACGGATCGCGAAGCGCAGTAGAAATTAGGAGAAAGAGAGAAAAAAAAATCCTATTGTGTTGTATTAATGGATGACACGCGAGTTGCGCAACGATCGATCAATGTGACTACCGTTTGCTCGTGAGAGATGAATCATGAAAGATCGGCACGATCGACGATTTCAATTGAAACCGCATTGTCGAGATTTGACGACTAGTGTACACTTTAATGTAGTAAAAGTTGCCTAGTGTTTTTATATATATTTATTTATTTACGTAATAATAACAGGCACAATTATTATTATTATTTCATGTTTCAATAATTTTAAATATTATTGTTATTTTATGCTTCGGTAATTTTAAATATTATTATTATTTCATGTTTCAATAATTTTAATTTTAAATTTAAATTCAACACCGCACATTGAATTAATTAATTTAATTTATGACAGATGAAATTAATTTTTCAATGTAATGATGAAATTAGATTTTGAAATTTTAAGATTAAATTTTATGATATAACAAAATTAAGTATTAAAATAAGTTTCGTTTGGACTGAACCTGTTGAAACAATATTCCTTGGTATTTCGTTGAGTTATATGCTTTGATCCTCCTTGTTGGTTTCAACAAGACGACTGATAAAATAATTTCCTTGGCTCGTAGTTGAAGTATTGTAAATAATTCTGTAGTCGATGTACTAGCGAAAAAGTAAACTACGTATTTCCATTTGCTTTCTACAAATTTCACAACTTCAATAACAAACTACGCAGTTAGTTATTGCATAACTCTCTCAGAAGTGAAACGAGTAATTAACTTCAGTATGTACCGTGAAACGTCAAATCGTAACTTTAAATCAACAAATTATAGGACTAGTTGCAATAAATTCAACGTATTTAAATATCAGTAAGAAACATTACGCAAGATTCCGGATCTCTTTGCGAGTGGACAAACATTTATATGCTCTAATTAAAAAATTCTTATACGCTAAGTCTATTCGATGCAATGCACTTTGTGATCCAATTTATTACTTTCTAGTACTCATGAATTTCTAGTTTTACTATCATTTCGAGAAAAAAGAAGAAAATGTATCTTCACTCTTCCGCCATTTATATAACGCGAAGTCGTCTTTGAAAAAGAAGAAAAGAAAAAAGAAAAGAAACGAATTCAAAATTGTAAAAATAGACATAGTTCTACGCTTTAGAATGAGATCAAGCGGACTGTCACCTGATTTTCTTTTACACACTTTTGTTATACTACAGTTTAAATCGTTGACAAGTTTTGTGTGTTTGAATTTTGGAATTTGCAAACTTTCGAATTTTTGGGCTCGTTATTAGTTCAATTATGCTCTTCAATGTATATGCTAGAAACCTGTATGACATGAAATTTTATAAGAAAAATGTGTCGCATTGACATGTCGCAAGAGTTCAATTTCGATTCCAATTCGAATTGAAAATCTGACAGTATATTTTTCAAGACATAATATAATATTATATATAATATAATATAGATATAAGATATAATATAATATAAGATATTATATAATAGATAGATATTATTATAATATATATATCTATTATAATATAATAGTATATTAGAAATATTTATAATATATTAATTATATATATATATATAATATGATAATTGTAATATAATATTAGAAACATTATAATGTAATATAATATAATGTAATATAATGTAATACAATATTAGAAACAGAATATAATATATTCTAATATTTCTGTTAATTATTATATAATAAAATACACTAGTATTTAATATTAGAATACCATATATAATATAATATCAGAAATATTAGAATATAATATATTTTAATATTTCTGTTAATTATTATATAATAAAATACACTAATATTTAATATTAGAATATTACATATAATATAATATTAGAAATATTAGAATATAATATATTCTAATATTTCTGTTAATTATTATATAATAAAATACACTAGTATTAGAGTATCATATATAATATAATATTAGAAATATTTTTATATATTTCTAATATTAATTATATAATAAAATATACTAATATTTTATATTAGAATATCATATATAATGTTTCTAAGGTTAATTAAGCGGGTAGATGGACGTATGCGTGATTACCTGGAATCTTCGAGGAGTAGTATAGTGTTGGTCGAGTTGACGTGCTTCAGATGTTCCTCGAGGCGCCCTTCACTAACAACGAGGACGGTGGCGTTCACCGGTTTGCTGAAAAATCCGTCTTCCGGCGCTCCAATGTGTACAATGTGCGACGTTAGATCTGAAATTTATCCGGCATTCAAACTTCCAAGCCTGTAGACTTTCGAACTTTCAAATCGTCAGACTTTTAAATTTTCTCGAGTTCTCAGGCTTTCGATTTTGGAGCTTTCGAAGATTCGTGGTTTGAGATTCACGAACTTTCGAATCTTCAGACTTCTAAATTTTTGGGTCTTACCTCAGTCTTGAAATTGTCTCTGAACTTTCGAACGTTGGAACATTCGAAGGTTCAAGTCGCGGGATTTTCAAACTTATCAATCCTTAGGATTTTAAATTTTTCGTGTCTTTGAATTTTCGAACTTTTAAGCCTTCTTCAAACGTTAAAATCCTTGAATTTTCAACCGAGATCTTCGAATTTTCGAGCTTTGGAATTTTTGGAATTGGAAATTCTCGAATTTCTGTATTTTCAGACTTTGGAGTTTTCGAAACTTCAACTTTTGGAATATTCGAATACTTTCTCAAAACTTCTCGAGTTTTCAAATTTCCCAACTTTTAGTCTTCCAAGTTTTCGAATTTTTTGATGCATTAGAACTTTCCAATCGTTGAATATTTTCAAGTTTTCAAATCTTCGAATCCTCGAACTTTAGAATTCCCGAATTCTAAATTTTTGACTTTCGGAATTTTGAAACTTGTAAATTTCGGAATCTTCAAATTTTCTGACTCTCGAATTTTCAATCTTCTAAATTTCGGAATATACAAGTTTTCTAACTTTCGAATTTTAAAATCTTCCAACGTTCGAATTTTCAAGTTTCCAAATTTTTTAATACAGATCGTTTCTCATTTTCATACATTTCTACTATTGATTTGTCAATTTTATTATTATGATTATTCTTAAATTTGTTTCGTATAAACGATACTTCTCTTAATAATTATTACTGATACAGTCGTAATCATTTAATTGTCTCACCGTCTTGATCGCCATCGTCAATCAACACGCAAAGACCCTTCTGAATGGCTGCCATTGTTAGCTTTTTGGCAATGTTTTGAGCGTCGTCTTCCCCATCCTCGTCCGCGTTTACCACCAGTGAGAATGATTTCCATTTCAATTCCTCCACGATCTTCAACGTCCCCTGAAAGAACAGAAAATCATGTTTCACGCAATAATTCAAATAATTAAAAATCTTTTCGCTGATGGTCTAACTTGCAAGTAGACTACGGATGTTCGTGTATTGTTGGAGAAATTTAAAGTTTCAAAAATTTACAAAATGTTATAATGTGCAAGAATTATTGAAATTATTCAAAATATAACATTGTTTGTCATGATGTTATGTCTGTTATTGTAATTATTATATTTACCTTATAGAAATTATTCAAAATTGAACATTTGTCATAATGTTATGTCTGTTATTGTAATTATTATATTTACCTTGTAGAAATTATTCAAAATTGAACATTTGTCATAACGTTATGTCTGTTATTGTAATTATTATATTTACCTTATAGAAATTATTCAAAATTGAACATTTGTCATAATGTTATGTCTGTTATTGTAATTATTATATTTATTTTGTAGAAATTATTCAAAATTGAACATTTGTCATAATATTATGTCTGTTATTGTAATTATTATACTATACTCTATTACTGTTTTCGACTCATTTATCTTATTATCTGTCAATGTAATTGTTATATTTATCTCACTTATATCTATCTTACTATCTTCGTCTTACTTATCTCGGTATTTTATTTTACCATATTTTATTCATTATACTGCTTTTGTTATTTTTAATTCTTTCTAAATAATGTGTTCGTTTACACTTTGATGCTTGCTCTTGTCACCTTTTTTCTTTTTATTTTATCGGAAAAGAAGATTTTCTGATTTTATTACAATAGATAATTTTATTAAATAGATAAATGCTTAATAGATAAAATAGATTTTTGTTTATTTCGTTTCTTAAAAATGCGAAACATAAACGTGGGAAGCCTGTTTGTAAGAGATCGTGATTATTAAAAATCGTCATTTTCAAATGTCAAAGCAAATGTATTAACAATAAGTCTCCGAAATTCAAATCTGTATCCATAAATGCTAAATTTAAATTAACAAACATAATCTAACATCTGTCTAATATTTTTCTGCATTATATTATGCAAGAACAAACATATTTATTTCCTGTACACAATCTACCAAAATATTTTAACGAAGTAAATCACCTTCGACTCAGTATACTAATATGTACATATATAACATCTAAATATATTAATGTATTATATTTCACAGAGTTTAGATTAGCTTTAGATTAAGTTTAGTACATACATATTAAAATCGACCAACATTATATATATATATATATATATATATATATATATATATATATATATATATATATGTGTGTACATTTTTATGACTATTAATATACAATCAACAATGTTTCTTATTCTTTCTCAATCTTTCTACTTTGTTGAATATTCATATATTGCGTCAATTGATATTTACGTGACACAGTTATTATCAATCAAGATTACGAAACGGTATCAATTACGTCTCGCTCTAATGTTCACAACCATCAGATACATCTCGATATAACCGAGAATTTTATTAATTTCTCAATCCAAGAGATTTTAATTTCTCACTTGTTGCTCGACTATCGAGTTGATAGTTTATCACTTATTATTCGACGTTGTCGTACGTGTTTTTCCTAACCGTGCGTTGTGTAATTTTTTAATTATCAATGTACGCGGCGGATTAACTAGCGGTAGCCTTCGACTGGCAGCGGATTATCATAGAAATGCGAATAGAAGAAATTCTAATTGCAAGTCTTCGACTGGCAATTACAGTGTAAGTACGTGAGTTGCAATATAATAGTAGTAAATTACTCTGAGCGGCGATGGGGCGTTGAGATAAGCGCGTTATCCTCGTTAACGTATTTTATAATGCATAGAAAACGGGGAAACGTCGATTTTTAACAAGTTTTTCTGCGAAAGCATAATGATAGGGTTTCTTGAATTTTTGTTCAAAGTTGGATGGAATGGCGATTCTTGTAAAACGGGAGACTTCGATTTTTAAATTTCACTGTGTATTTCGTCACGAGAGAAATTTGTCAATGTTTTCACGTACTGTGTCTTGAGAAGAGAAATGTCTTCACCATGCGTAAATATTCTAAAATAAAACGAACGATGCATTTTGAATCTGAAGATTACAAGTTTATAAACTTAGACTTCAAGCTTGTAACAGATTTACTGCCTTTTTTTTTTTACAAAATTGTAACAATTTCGATATTTAGTGTCCAAATGTTAATGAGAATTATTGAAAAATAAATTTTCTAAAACCTGACATTTTCCCTTTCTTCCGTGGATCTTTCGCACGCTAATGAAAAAGCTATAATCTCGATCTTTGAACGAATTGACGTTTGAACGACTCGAAGCTCGAAGAAAAAGATTTCGGTGAAATATGATCTTGAAAGTCGAATGAAAAACTTGAAAATTGAACTTCGTTCAGAGTGAAGAGAGTGAAGTGGGGAATTGCAGTGAGAAGCAAAACTGAATCGATAATAATAAGAAGAAACTAAGAATTTTGAACGAATCCTTTCTTATTGCTGTTGATATTAATTCATTAATGATCAAGAAATAGTTTATAAATATTTTTTTCTTTTTTTTTTTGATCTCATAAAATTTTCGAGTCTGAGTAAAAGAGATAGTGATAAAAAAAAAAAAAAACGTTCAGAAGTCTCTTTTGTGGCCGTACTGTTAGTTAGTAAAGTAGATTTTAATATATTAAATTAATAATATATTTGAAGTCAGCATTAACTACATTTAATTAAATTTCGCAGTTTAACTGCAGTAAAATTGGAAATTTGCACTTCTATATTGTAATTAAATTATTGTTTAATTTAATCAAATTGGAATTACTATATTATATTAAATCAAATTTGAATTACTAGACTAAATTGTTACATGAGATAATGTATTTCACCATATATATTAATATATTATTATATTATATTGATATAATTTGTATTTAATTTGAATTATTATGTCAAGTTAAATTTAAATTCAATGAAATGACGTATCTCATTGCATTAATACATTTTGTTATATACATGCATACGCAAATTACTATAACTTAATTTTCATTCAGTATTTCTAATTAGAACTACTAAATTCTAAACTTTACATAAATGAATTGCGGATTTTATAGATTTATAGATAGTTTGTATTTTTGGAAGACGATTAGAAAGGTAGGATTTAATTAGAGATTTAATTTACCTACTGAATATTATAATCCTTACTGTATAAACGTTTTAATTAATTCTCAATATCGTGTTCGTTTTTTTATATCTTCAAACTTTCCATAAATGCGTAAAAAAACCGCCGTATTAATATACTTATTATACTTTATTAATATAATCCGCAATATTAATATAAACACGAAAAATACAAACCATAGGATAAATACGATAATACAAATGATAGAATATAAATATTTATATGGTGTTTTAAATAATTTAAATTATTATTATTATTATTAATATTTAAATAATGCAGATGTAGAAAAATTTATACAAATATATATTTTAAATAATACAAGTATATATTACTACTATGATATATAATATATATATATTACAGTGAGATACATAGTACAATATAGTAGTACATATACATTATACATAATCTATACATACGTAATATGTATATTACAATTTGTAATATACACATACTAAAATATATACTACAATTACATAACATACAGTACACATCATATATAATATATGTTACACATAACAATGTACAATATATTACATGTATAATACACTACTGTTTACAATATAAATGTAATATATAACTACAATTATCATACCATTTTCATTGAAATTGAAAGGCACGAATGTAAATGAGAAACGTTTCTGAAACGTTCGTCTATCTTTAATTTAATTCAATTCTCGCTGAAGAAGACGTAGAATGTTACGAGTGGCCTTGAATCACGTTGGCCGTTAATCGATATTCCTCTAGTTAATGCTTCAATTGTGAACAATTGCTACATAACCTAAGCTACTCTGTCTCAATTACAGTTCGGTATGGGGAAGAAAGAAAAAAAAAAGAAAAAAAAAAACGAAAGCGTATAATGGTGCAAAAAATGCGCAGATATTATCGTGTTAATCATTGTAATCGGCAGGTATTTCAATTTGAACGAAGGTTATACTACCAGTAAGCTTTACTTTAATGGATCTACAGTGTGTCCCCAGTTTTCACCGTAAAGCCAGATCCAAAAATGAGGAAAGAAATTCTTATTCAAGACTCTTCGTTTCATGTTTTCGAGAATATCTACTTGAATTTAATTATATATACTGAATGCAGTAATCACAATCGAGGCTATTCCATGTGACGAAAAAAAAATTCATCATAGCCATTCGCGTCAGGAAACATGGAATGTGCCGCTGGTTATGTTTGGTATGCGGAATAATCAGCGACTGATTGAAGATATTCAACATTAATGCTGAATATTTTCATTTCGCGTTTAAATTTTAATATTCACTGACATTTGACGAATTTAATATTCATTAATATATCCTTATTCCAAGTATTATCTCTGAACGTGCGTAAATAAAATTTTTCTATAACGAACGAATTCGTTCCTGATATATTTTTCATGTATTATATTATATCAATGTTACACTCGTTTATACTGCTTCATACTATATTTTATTTTATCTTATCGTATTATTTTATTACTGTATATTGTCATTTTCATTTCATTATTTCGTTTTCATTGTCGTTTTATCTATCGCGTTATTGTCACTCTCGTGATCTCATTGAAACAAAGATTTTGTCGTGCTCGAGTAACAACTTTGAAACGAAAAACAGCTACGTACGTACATGTGCATGTTGTCAAGCTTGATTTTCTCGAAAACGAAACGAATGTTTCGTGTTTTGCTCGCGTGAGAATTCCAAATTTGATTCCATACTTTCAAGTCATTCAGTTTGCATGCAGCCTCTTTGCATTTGTATCACGGAACCTTGGACACCCTGTATATATAGAATTTTATGGCGATCATAAACGTCAGTCGATCTCGTTATTTGGAGGTTGTTACAGAGCTGTGTCGAGTTAATAAGCAGTTAGTCTCGTTATTTGGAGGTTGTTACAGAGCTGTGTCGAGTTAATAAGCAGTTAGTCACCTGGACTAGATAAGAATCGGATTCCTTCACCAGATGATGAAGGTACGGGGAATTCGATTCACGTCTCACGATATGCGGCACTTTCAGCACTGACGTTATCTTGTGTACGGCTTCCGCATTTGTCGCAGTGTCTGGCCCGATAATTCCTAGTGAAAACAGTAACGCAATGTATAAAACGTGCCCCCGATCATATTATCATCGATATAACAATTTTTTAGTTCGATTTAATTCTCAATGTTAACAACAGAGACTGCCGAATCTCCATGCAAGTTGATACTTTTGTGAATTTACTTAAAATCAAGATTTTATCTTATTACGATAGATATTTTGTCTATAAATATTTTCAATATTTTATACGCCTTCGTGTGTTACTTGCATTCTGTACGTTCGTTTTTTTTTTTTTTTTTTTCAATCTTCAAATTTATATGCCGAAAATCTCCATTTCATTCATAAGTGCATGAAAATTCGCGGTCTAACAATTACTTTGGTTAATGGTAACAGCAGAGTTGGGCAAAAGAGATTAATCGAGGAAATTTCAGTCGCAGTAAATGATTATTTTCCAATCTTTGGTTATTGATCTTCGGTTAATAATCGACGATTAAATTTTCTGCTTTAGTCGCCAGTCGCGAAAAATACCTCTTAATTTAGCGATTAGGAGTTAAACTTTTACTTCAATCAGTCAATTGTCATTAACGATTAAGTTCCTTTCAATTTTAAGTCGAACAGTTAATTACCGAAATTATTCTCGTCCTCTCGTTCGCGGATCGAGACGTCTTGCTGTGTATGTATAAAGAAATAATAAATCCTGTGATATTAATACTCAGTTGATAACGAAATAAGATTTTTCCTGTTGCTGCTTGTTTATTCAACAAATTTTGAAGGTATTCAAAATAAGTTGATTAGGCTTGTAGCTCTCGATACTATAAATCAGAAATATGTTATTTCTGTCAAATATCTTAACTCTGAGGCTTTATTATAATTTCAAAGTGTAACTTCAATTTGAATGAAATAATTTGAATTAAATTCGATGTAACATTGATAATTGACGATTAACGCTATTGGCCGATCTTTCGATGATTAGTTTCCTTTCAATCAACGACCGACGGTTAATTAATTTTATCGATCGATCAAAATAAAATTGCGACGTTCAATTGTCGACGTTCAAATTAATCGTAAATAGTCGATCGGTGGATGAAAATTTTTCATAATACAAATTTTTCTTAATAAAATATATTATAATATATAATTCTGTATATTATAAATTCTATATAATTCTATATTATAATATATAAATAAAATATAATTCTTAATAAAAATTCCCATTCTCTGTGACACGTCTCTTTGGCTAGACAAGCTAACAACGTTATACTACGTTATACTAATATTATTGGGAGGAATGTGAAAGGTTAGAATTAACGAAATGCAAGTATTCCAGTCACGATCTTGTAAATTCTTTCGATTCCACGATTGGCCAACAAGCGGCAAACTGCGCGCGCTTCGAACAGAAGCCGATTGCAGCAATGGAAATGAAGGGGGATCATGACAGATCATACGAAACGTTTCCCTCAGTTAACAAAGTAACAACCAGGAAAGTTCCTGTGATCGATCTGTTCCTCCGAGGAATGGAAGGCGTTTACCTAAGTAGTAAGGCGGTTGCAAACAGTTCGTGTCTGCCCCCACGAGAGCCTTCATCGCCGCTTTTAGAGCGCCGGTTATGCTGCCGCACGTGTCCAGAACAGTCAGTTCTGCAACATAGTTGAGAGTCGTTATTCGTTATTCAACGTTATTTTGTTTCACTTAGTTTGCGATCAAGGGTCGTCCGATCGAGAAATTAAGCTGAGGGATGTTTTCTTTCCAAGAATCAACGTAGACGAGTTCATGGGCTTTGAAATTAATTAATTAATCGGTCAGTTAATTAGGATTTAGCATGACGCATGAGGTTAATGACTGTTAATGGCTCACAAAGGAAATACAGAAATTTAGAAATTTTGATAATTAAATTTTGAGTCGTCGGAGATCGTTCGTTCGAGAGATTATGTTAAGGGATGTTTTCTAAGGGTAAACGTAAAAACTTTGAAATTAAGTTAGAATTTAGAATGATGGAGTTCTATTTTCTAAATAGAGATAACTAAATAACGTTCTATTAAACAGACAGCGAACGTGTTATATCTCTAGTCACAAAAGAAAGTCCAACAATTGGAAAATTTCCATATTCTGTTATTCAAATTAACGCGATTTTATTTCCCTGAATTCGCAATTGAAGATTACCTCATCGAGAAATTAAATTAATTGAGTTATTAAATTAATTTAGTTGATTAAATTAATGTTTTTTTTTTTTTTTCTTTTAAAAGTTAATATGAACGAATAGAAGTTTGGCTTTGGGACGTGAGATTTAGAATTTAGACTTTACTTCAATATTAACACGTATGTAGTTTTGTAAGAAAACATTACACTGAGACAATGTAGAACAGTTTGTTTTAACATCACGTAAAACATCAAGTAACATCAAAAAGAAATAAAAGTAAATAAATACATAAATTATATTATAAGTACGACTATTAACATATAAAACCATGTAACGTAATATGTAACGAAGATTGTTACATATTAAATCGAAAAATTGAAAGTTAAGAGATGTTTTTTAAGTATTGTGATACTTAAATAAGGACTTGGTATTAATTAATTAGGGATTTAGAATTTGAATTTTGATTAATTTAATATTAAATTTACTATTAGCTATTTCAGTATTAATGAAATTTAATTTTAATTAATCAAGGATTTAGAATTTAAACTTTGATTTAGTATGCAAATTTCGTGGAAGAGTCAACATGTAACGTGCAATTTAACATAATATATACATACATATATATATATATATAATATACAGAGTAACCGATTTCAATCTGTAAATGCAAATTGCTCGTAAACTATCTGTAGTATAAAAAAGTATTTTAGATAAGAAATGAATGGTTTCGCTTGCGTTCATACTTGTGTCCTTGTCTTTCGTGCATAAATTTTATAAAATTAAAGTTGAAATATCTCTAAACCAATAATTTTTCGACATATATATGGGTTAACACCACGATATCATTATGAAAATATAATATATATTATAATGCGATATGAATATTAAAAAATAACATGAATGTTAAAAAATTATACAAAATTAAATTATTAAATTATATTTTATAAATTTTATAAAATTAAATTATTAAACTATATTTCAATAATAATTTAATTATTAAAAATAATATTAAAAATAAAATAATTATTAGTTATTCATAATTAAAAAAATAAGAGTACCCTTCCGTGAGGGAATGTACGCGCCCATAAAGCCATGGCGAGCTAATTTTTTCTGAACGCGTACGTGCATCTATACTGTTCAAACGGATTACTTAAGATTATTGAAGATAAAAAAGAAATATTTCGCTCATTTACCAATGTCGTAGCCACTCGTTTTGTTGTTGTGGATCTCCGCGAGTAGTTTCGCGGCTTCGTACAGCAACACTCCTCTAGCAGACAGTTTCCTGCAGGACGGATCATCGTGAATGCTCGTCAGCAGCGAGATCTGCGCCTGATTTCCGCATTCTGTTCGTCCGCCGCAAGTACACGCACAGATGACGCCCATTACCAATAAAACTCGTAACTTCCCCATTATTTTTCGATCTTACTTTCCTCTATCCCTTCTTCTTCTTCTTCTTCTTCTTCTTCTTTTCAAGTTCTCCTCTTTTTTCTTTTTTTTTTTTATTATTTTATTCCGTCTGTTTCTTTGCTATTTTTACAAATCAAATTCTGTTCAATCTTCGATTTACTTCTGCTCTCCTCTTCCCCCTCCGCGTCCTCTTAATTCTCACGTCTCGTAGTCGGAACGAAACGGTCGAAGGAAATCGTGCGTATAATCGGCGACGTGACACTGGCTAACGGACTGTAACACTGTTTTTCGTTCTTTCGTCACTGAACTTTCGCAATGCACGCGAAGCGACACGAAACGACATGAACGCGACGAGGGAGAACGCGAGGGCCAGACTCTCGTGAAGGACGAAAGGGAGGATGAAAATCGCTGATCGCGAGAGGGTAGCGGTGAGGGCCTGTTCTCTCCAGGGTAGCTTCTCCTCGAACTGTGGACCTTGGTAGTGAAAAACGGAAGCTTTATATAAGGAAGCCGGATACTGGCATGCATTAGGCGAATTTCTAGGGTTTTAAGGCCCCGGTTACCGCGCGCCATGCCGCGTGGCGTTCTCAAGACGACCTTGTTACGTTCCTCTCCCTGTTTCAACCCCGAGATTATATGCGTTCACTCTTTATAACGTTGTTCGTACACTCTGATCGTACGTTTCTGTTATAGTTCGCTGTTTAATAAACGATATATTATATCGTTCGTTATGTTATATTTTTATGTTACTATAGCTCGCTGTTTGTTACATTATATTATTTATATTATTTATATTATTATATTGTATTATTTGTTCGTTATATTATATTATAGCTCGTTGTTTAATTGAGTAAGTGATCGGTGTTTCTATTTCTGTGAAGATTTTTAGAACGATCAAAGTAGGATGAATATTGTACATATTACACAAAATTTTGAATGATGCTATAAAATGAAAAATACGGGTTCTTTTACTTCACTTTTGTTTATATTTTATAAAAATTATAATTGATTGTAATGTTATAATTATAAATATTCTATATGAATGTTATATTATGTTTATTTAATTTAATCGTCCATTATAATGTAATATAATATGGTATGATATAATTATAATATAATATTCTTCGTTTAACTTTTCGAAGATATTAAATTGTTTTTGGTTTTACAGTAAAATGTATGTATATACATATGTACATGCCTTAAAGGGATAAAGGATATTTTATTTGAGTTTTGCTAAAGTATTTTTCTATTAAATATCATTTATTGTCTTCATTGGAAAAAAGATAGAACTAAAAGAGTTTATATATAATATTATACATTAGATAATATTGTACAATTAATTGTGCAATAATATAATATTAAAGCATGTATGTGTAATGTCACACATGCATAACATATATGGAATTAATGACAATACACATAATGTCAATAAAAAAGATAGTTTAAACTCTCATTGAAAAGTTTTACAAGTTTTCTCTGTATTTAATATTATCAGATTGTGGTCAATAATTAGATGCATAAAAATGCTATTTAATATACTATTTAATATACAAACTTTGATTATTTGCCACGTGTACTTGATTATAAAGAAAATGAATTTTGGAAAATTGAATTTTCACTTGAATTCTATTTTATTACTCTACACTTATCGACTGCGTTATTGTATTTTATTGGTATTTTTTAATTAACGAATTTCATAACTGTTATTGGTTTCTATTGCTCCCAAGTAATATCAGGCAAATCTATCTGTAAATAGTTAAATTAATAGCACGTTTCAATCTCTAATTGAATGTTATTGGTCTCTTGTTTCCAACATTTTTCGAATTTTGTTTTTTGTTTTTTTTTTAATACATATTTTAGAAATATGTATATTGCTGGAAAAAGTTCCATTATCGATTCTTATTTTTTTATTTCGCAATATTTAATATCTTGTACTCTGATCTCTTCCTAAGTAAACCGCGAATTTTATATTTTTGTAAAAACGATTTACAATGAAACTTGATTATTGAAAAATCGAAAAATAGAAATTGTACAGGAAAGGAACGTGGAATATTATATTATTCATTAAATATTGTGGATTACACTTCGAATATTTATTCTTTACATTTGTATTGTTAGAATTTGTATCTTGAATATTTGACTATTTTATTTATTTTTGCATCTCCGAAATTTCCATAGAAATTTGTATAAAAGTCCACACAGTATACTTATCCGCAAAAAGTCGAAACCTATTCCTTTGCTGTTTCTTTCATTCGAAGTCTGCTTCTTCATCATGTTAGTTTTGGTAAACTAGTTACAACCCTCTTGCGTTGTTGTAGTAGCTTTACATAATCTGCCGCACAATTTTACCTATGTATAGAGAAACTATAGCAAACTAGGAAGCGGAACATATCACACAATTAGCGTGACACAGGGTGTCTCATTTAGGACGAAGAAAAATTATAATAAAAAAGTATTAATAATAATAATAATAAAACATAAGTTTACTAATTATAATAAAAAATTATAACAAAAAAGTATTAATAATAATAATAATAAAACATAAGTTTACTATATATATATAGTGATAGTTATATTTTTTAATAATTATTGTATTATTCTTATTCTATTATTATATTTCATTTAATTCGTATTTTCTTACGTCTTTTATTAATATTTGATTCCAATTTAATATAATATTAATAATAATATTATTATTAATTTAAACGTTATGCTTTATTGATATTTATTATTGCATTATATTATATTATTATATTTATATTTCATTATCCGTAATGATAATAGTTATATACAATAATAAAGTCAAGCATAATGAAAATTTAAATATCTCTTCGATCTACGATAGAACTGAACATCTTTCTCTTTTACTTCAATCATTCCTTTCATTTTAATCTATTTTTCTTTTTAATAATTCATATTATTATATTATATTATTATTTAATATTCGTATTATCATGCTATACATCGCATAACATTATACTGTTACACAACATATTCGAGATACAATAAGACGATAAAGATGCACAATAATTGGACTACAATTTTTTATATATCTACAAGACAGACTCACGGAACGTATAGAATACGCAAGAATGTTAAAAACATCTGTACTCATGTTTTAATAATTTTTAAGTTTTTGAATTTTTTAAAATTCAAAATTTAAACATTTTTAACAATTTTGTTTCCAGTGCTCGTTTCCACGCTAAGCGCTTCGCGTTTGTTTGTAATACAGGATGAAGCTGCACAAAAGTCCGCGTAAAAAATCTAAAAATTATGGACAAAATTGTGCTCTCGAGTGAAATTTTTTCGTACAGTGAGAACCCTTCTTAATCAACAGTAAGCTCGTTAGCATACGTACATAGCGTATCGGACTAGCTGTAAACTGTAAATCCTCTTGTTGCATAACCCCCACCCTTGCATAACTTGCGACGATGCTTGATTAGAATGTATCTACCATCGCGGTTCGACGTCGTTTTAAAAACTAGGTTTCCTTTGCGTGAAAACAGTGCCTCAACGCGCTTCGTGTTGTATGATACTACTTCACAAAAAATGTTGAGTTCTATATAAAAAAATATATATTTCGAAAAGAATTTTGTTAATTCTTATTACAAGAAAATAATAATTTCTTATTAATTTTTATTAACTTGACAATAATTTTGTATTAACTTTTTTCTAAAATAATAATTTCGAAAAATTATGATTACCGTTGTAGAAAATATGTTAACTAATATTGTAATAAAATAAATGCGCACATAACATGCATATTAAACTTGTATTGTATTGATGTATTAAAAATATACAGTTTCGAAGAATTATGATTATCAATACAAAAACATTGTAAGTAATATAAAATAAATAAATATATTAAACTGAGATTGTCGATATATCAAAAGCAAAAGTTAATGGTATCGTTCGTCTGAAACATCTTTCGCAAACGAATAACAGCGACGTATTTTACATTTAAAATGTAAAAATCAGTTGGAACGCTCTGTATGCCCAATGGTATGGATAATACGTACATATGTAATCCGTCTGTGTTAAATAGGCGTGAATCTAAAGATCTTTAGTTCACGCCTATATCTGCGTACATGAATATTGAAACGCTCCGTTACCCATACATTTCAAATCTGGATTTATATCTCTTGACATATACATGACAACGTATTTATTGGAAATAATATTTTACATTTTACATAATTGTGTTTTAATTGTTTTTCATTATCTTCGTATTCTTATTAATGTCAAAAAATAGAAATTATATTATAACATATATTATAATATATTATAATTGTATCATTATATATTAATTGTGTTTTAATTGTTTTTTATTATCTTCGTATTCTTATTAATATCAAAAAATAGAAATTATATATGTTATAATATATTATATATATTGTAATTATGAATTATAAATCTCTGCATTTGAGATTCCAAGTTCTCGACTTAGTTTGGAAATAATATTTTAGGTAATAATAATATATTACATAATTACAATAATAATTTTGATATTTATTGTATATTATAACTGATATTTCAATTTCGCTTTTATATGTAATAAACAATAGTTCCAGTAATAATCCGGGATTAATCTAAGAATTCAATGATCTAGGTTATTTATTTGGCATTCAAACATTCGAATTTCTTAATTTTTTTTATTACAAATTTTCAGATTTTTAATTTTTGGAATTTCTTGAATTTTTATTATTATTATTGAAAGTAAACACGTTTAATAACATCATCCCCAGAGTAAACACGCGTTAGTAGCAAATAATAATTAACTTTAAATTTAATAATATATAATTCAAAAATATATTTTTGAAAGAAACAAATAAAATATTTCTCTCGCCCCATTTATGAAAAGATCTCTGTAATTCATATACAGAATTTCATAAATAAAATATCAATAACAAAACAAATAATCTACTTTACCAAAAATCTACTTTGTTGAATATTCGTAAATAAAATACTTTATTCATTCATGTTGTACAGTACCTTGTAATTATATTCTACGTTATATTACATTGCATATTATAAGAAACACTATATATTTTTATATTTTTATATTTACATTATAGAGAACATGTTTGGATGCGTATTTAT